GAAGAAATTGCACTAGAACCTGCATCGTATCAAGAAAACAATTATAAATGGAGAAAATAAAGTCAAAACTTTTTTCTTTGAATTTCCATTAAATACTCCGTGTACGCATATTCAAATTATAGTTTATGAATATTGTTGATAGTCGGAACCGATAAACTTAATCAGCAGGGGCGAATTGCAAAAAATTTGAACCTCGCGGCATGACTTTTCACGATAATTTCATTTCATTCGCGTGGAATAATACCCCTCCGTTTCATTACTTTTTCACTCGCAAATCTGTGAAATTTTCACGCGAGTAAAATTCCACCACTTTTTCATCGCTCACCTGGATACGTTCAAGTGGAATTCGCGTGGAATTTTCACAGAAGTCGATATCACGCGTGAAAAGCCCACTTGGATACTTAGCTTAAATTATAATTTTTCAAGACGCTTCGTAACTTTTAAAATTTATACCCGACTTCAAAAATAAACGAACATGTTTGTTAAAAATTACTTACATGTACATATATAATCATAATAATAAACGAAGTCCAAAAAAATGGAAATCTTATAATGGAGGTCTCCCAACAACGTATATCATTGATTTTGACCAAACTAGTGCTAATGGAGCATATATTAATTTGTATGAAATTTGCAAATGGCACTATCTGCCAATGAGCCCTAATCCCTAATCAATTAATTGGGATTATTTAATCTTCATCCTCCTGAGGAGGACCCCCTCTAAAATATGTAACTAATCCTGGAAACATGACTACCAATGCGATGGTGTGTACCCGGGGTACAGTACCCCTATGATTTGGTAGAAATTTAAAAATTATGTAGTGCAGGTCAAAACAACCAACGTTTCTTGAGGAAGTTTGTGCGATGAAAATATTTGAGGTAAATTTAGAAAATGGGCGATTTTTGCCATTCCTGCAGGTCGCCGAAGGCGACCTGCAGGTCTAATTCCAATTTTTTCCGTATGCAGGTCTACGCTTGCTGTGCGGGTGGGTGGTGGGAAAGTATGGTGACATATATCGATGGAAAGCTTATACTTTATTATATTCAAAAATAATTTTTTCGAAATTTAATTTCGCTGTGTTCCCGCCTAGCGCACACTTTACGGGGCAGTCCGATACCATCGTGACCGATCTTTAAAGCTACACGAGTTTATTACATTCATCGTAATATACATATTTTCATATGACCAATATTCATCTTATTAAATACATAGGCATACTCACAATTCATATTTATAATTCTTCTAAAAATTGCGTCTAACCTATAACCCTGGGTCGAACCCAGATCACTGATTTCTCATTACTTTCCCGCCAATAACAAACTCACCGTGTGATACCCAACTCGTTCTACATATCGTAAAAAGTAATCCATCCCCACCCCATTCTCCATAGTATCGGCAGACTGTATAAACTCTATATTTATGTAGAGTGGTTGCATCCCCGCTATCACAGCCCTCTTAACCTTATCGTGCCCATACAATTTCCAAACCTTTTCTCTAAACTGCTTCGACAGTGTAGTCCCCTCTGCAATATAACGAACCGCGACAAATTCAACGATCGTTGACAAAAGCAGTATTAATAAGGAGACTGCAATTGTTACTAGGGAAATTCTACCACCTGGTAAAAATTGTAGGAGAAAATAATACAGTGAAATGGTTGATAATACAACAGTATGAAAATGATGCAGACAAGGGACAATTAAATCTCGAGCAAAATCAGATTGAATGACGGCTAATATGCGAAGCTTATTGTATATATTGATCCCCATTTCGAATCCAACTCCAAGCTGGAACTGTTTGTCGACATAGTTGATCCCAATCGATGAATTAAGGTCCTTTATAGCCACGTAGATGACAAGAACTCCGTTCAGCATGGATAATAAGCAGAGTACGAGGATACAAACGAGAACATTGCAGCCGATGCAAGAGATTACTTGGATAAAGATTTTAATCGGTGTGGGGTAATACTGGACGAATGAGTATAGAGGATTCAGGTATGGTTCTAAGAAGCTGAGGTAGATTAGGAGTGGCGGAAACAAGTAGGTCACACAGAAGTAATAAGCGTAGACTAGTTTCTCCACAATAACGTCCGATTCAGTAACAGGATTCTTCCTCAATGAAAGTTGTTCTAAATAAAATAAAATAAATGAGAACAGAAAATCGAGTAATAGGTATATATTTACATATATGTATGAAGTTAGCAGAGTCCGTAATTCATTCGAAATTCATTCATAGAAACAATTGGAAAGTCATTCATTCATTTTTGATGTATTCAAAATTTGAGAGTAAATATTTTTTCGTTGTTCATTTTTTTCTCAGTTAATCTCAAATTTACCCTATAAGATGAAGTTTAGCCCATGTGCTAATCGTAAGGTGAAAAATGAATGGGGGATTCATTCACTGTTCATTATATATATATATAATTTTATATATGTATATATAAACTTAATTCCTTATATATGTAATGACTTATCTTAGGTAAAGATTCATGCACTCAAATGCATATACCGATACACTCAATACAAAAAATTATTCATTCGTTTTGCATAAATTCATTCAGTGATTTTTTTTGTTTTAAACCAATGAATAAGTGTGAACAGGTACAGACTTGCATATATATAACCAAATAAAATGTATCTAACCTCGTATCTGTGAATTCAAAACGAGTGCACTTTCATAACAATTGACCAGCTTCCTGGGGCTCGAAGGTTTCCGTCCGTCGCCAATCCGTCGCCAAGAACGTTCCAAACAAAACCTTCACGTCGCCGACTTCACCTTGGTTTATGGATTTTATGAGTTGAAATGTTTTGAAGATACAGAGAGGTAAAACAATCAGGGTAGCGATGCTTGTATAAATCTGGAAGTTCCGAAACTGCCAAGCATTTGGGCGACAAGCCTCTGCTCTTCCAGCTTGCTTGTTCCATTTTATGGTGTAACACGCGAAGCAGGCGCTGCGTTGGGTGGCGCGAAGGGCAAGCCTAAAATATCGAATAGCTCCGTGGTTCCACATGGTTTTAAATATTTATGATTAACAAAAGCCGGGATGTCTATCTATGAGTTATATTGCTATATTAATGCAGAATCTGGCAAACTGTCTCTTTTAAAGTTACTTTGAATGACACTAAAATTCCCGGTTTAGTAATGGAATAAAACCTTTTCCAGTTGGTTTAAAGACCTAAATAAATACTGCGTTCAGCACCATTTTGATTTTGTCAAGTATACTAAATTAGGTGGTGACGCATGTCGGAATATGTCGTTGCCTCGTGTTCTAAGAAGTATGTAGAAGGCTCTAACAATTCTTCATTAAGTCGCGTTTTAATAACTAAATATGCCTAATTGGTCATTGGCGTATTTCTAATCAAGCGTAATTGCTCATCCGTAGGAAATTCGTTTAGAAAATCAGTCAAGCCAAATATACTAGAAATTGTCGGATGCGTACAGTATGGGCACCGGGGTTTTCTATTCCATCATTAAAATGAAGGCTAGCGAAGTACTGAACCTCATTCTAATTCATTCATCCTATTGTCGAGGACACAGTTATTCAAGGTTTAGTCAAGAATTATTTAGAACTTCGAGTTAATTTGCCGAGAAATTATATGTATGCATCGGGAGACCCTGTTGTGCTCCAAATTATTATCGAAACAAAATTTCGCAGGGCTTCCATATTTAATAATCTGTGAAATCAGGTTTTTTGCCCGGGCTATAATTAGAATATTTATGGTGTGTATATTCATATGTATTTACATATGAAACAATATCTTCACGAGATATGTAGATATCTGAGAGATACTTATATGCGGCGCAGGCCATTTAGCTTTATTGGAATACACATGTATGTACCCACATATTTGGGGTTTCTATTTAGAACGATAATAAACATTGTCTGCAAACACAAGTTATACTCAAATCTTATACAGACACATGATAATTCATACATATGTATGCATATCGTTTCAAATAACTGTCAACAGGAAATGAACATTCAAGTGAAATGGACAAGGGCAATTTTATCCTTCGGTTATAATCTGCATTCGATGTATGTATGCAAGGTATACTACATAAATATTTGTCCATCCTATATTGTAGTACATACATATGAATACATGTCTTGAACAATTAACTTCACTTTAACCTTACCAACTATATATTTATGTAAACATACACGATAACATGAAAATGTATGTAAGTATGTGAAACTTATCATGAATGGTACTCATTAATAAGTACATATGTATTTATTTCTATATAACTCAGCATAGGTGCATCATGATTATCGACAAAATTATCCTTCCTAAACTTAATTGCTTTCCGTCGATGGACTTAGTTCTACTTCAAATTCAAACTGAACAGCAAATTATATATTATCTATCCTTCGCAAGTGCAATTGTATTAATTTTTAGTTCTGTAGAATTTTTCGTTTTACATCACTCAAAGTAATTTAGACAGCAATAATCAAGGCCAAATTTCCATCGATCGGCGCACAATGGGCCAGGACGTATGATTTTGTGGCCAATAACTGAAGGTGAACTAAGGGGTAAATTTTGTACTGAATCAATAGAGTACTAGTCCATTATCATTGTTGAAAAATTCTATCAATTATTGAACTCTGGCTTTGAAGTAACAAGACTTTAGAAATCTACACTCTTAGAAAAATCAATACCAGATCAATACCACGCGGTATTCATATGTGACTCTACCGTTTTGGTATTGATTTAATACCAAGCGGTATTATTTTGGATTTATACCGTGACGGTATAAAAACGTCACTTGCGGTATTGATTTTTTTTCCTGGTGGTATTGTTTATTAATACCGAATGGTATAAATCTAGGATGCAGCGGTATTAAAAGACTAAATACGGTATTGATGATTGATACCATGCAGTAAGAAAAATAACGGTTTAGTACTGCTTGGTATTGATTTTAACGTTATTTATTTGATAAAATTACAAGTCGCAACATTATAAATGACATACATATTTTAAAAAAAATGGAAATCAACCTAATGCAATATAGTTAACTTAATTATAAAACTGGCTTACACACCATAATGTTGAAAAGTTGAGCTGACTGGATCTAAAAGCCTATGTAATTTAAAAAATAAATTATGTAAACAATTCACACATTGAGGCAGTTATTTTTATATATTTTTCCATTTAAAATTATCTTACCTCTTAATTCCATAGGAAATGTCCCACTGAAATAAGTGAAAAACAATTTGTCAATTAGTTGAAATTTGAAATCTTAGAATATGTACACACGTCTAATTTAATTTAAACTGTCGATCTGATTTGTAAATGTTATCACAAACCTAAAATTATCCTGAATCCTATATTCACGACCGGAACTAGGAATTGGTTAAGTCGATGATCTCGCGCAAAATAAAAAAAATTAAGTTAATTAATATAATGCAGAAAATATAACGAAATTGGTGGTTTAAAATCCTCCCTATTAATGTAATACACAGCAAAAGATAAAACGAAAAGAAAGAATAAATTTATGCTTACCCTTTAACAAGAATCAAATTTAACCAGTCAAAGTTTCCATTGGATGTAGTCAATTTCTTCCCCTCAATTAATTCACCAGCCGAAATAATTTAGAAGAACTTACTTTTAAAAAGAGGACGATTTGCAACTGCAAGTGAGTAGTTTGCAAATCCCGCACACGAGTCTATACCGGACAGATTTTAGACTGGGTAAACGTGGTATAAAATCTGTACCAGTAAGTATTGATGTTTTACCAACTCGGTATTACAAATTAATACTATCCAAGTACAAGCTCGTGGTATTGATTTTTCGCAACATCTTAATACCGAATCGTGACTGAGTGATGATACCAGCACGACGGTATTAAAAATTTTCAAGGATCAATACCCAGTTTCTAAGAGTGTAAGAAACCATTGGGATGAGTTAACACAAGTTTCAATGGGCGCCACCACTCGCCACCGGCTGTTCCGGCGGATCTTTTTATATCATAGGTTACTTCTGGCCTTGTTGTATACGAAACTGACCCGACATCGTCCACCTTTTTGACGTTTGAAAATTTACGGGGTCATATAATGCATCAGATTGTCCGTCTTTTTTGTTCAAAGGATTTGTTAAACCCGTGAGGGTAAAAGTTACTAAATACAACCAACACCGGCATCATACATGTGACCCCAGGGGGAGGATCCTATCAACTTTTGAGGTCAATCGGACCACCCCCATTGGCGCCAGGGGGTGTGGTCGGGGCAAAATGAGATTCTTAGTGCAATTTAATGCATAGATGAGATAGGGTAAAATTAAGTGTTCCCGAGTTGTGCCACACCCCCTAGCTCGTGGGGGTGTGGTATCGGGGAAAATGAGATTTTCACTGAACTTGAATCTATCGATGAAATACAGTGAAATAGAGTGTTCCTGCGATGGGAGAGGTTGGGGTAAAGTGAGTTTGAAGGTACTTTGGTATGCACGTTTGCGACGATTTATTTACAGTGAGGGGGGACGTGAAGGTCGACGATTTAGGTTGAATTATTTTTATTCAAGTATATATTCCTTTAGTATACTCAGTCACTGGACTTTCTCAGCAAACTGAGGTGGTAGCAGGAAAGTATTTTAAAACCACCTCTATGGTAGAGGAGTCTAAATTAAAGACCTATCTGGTTGAGAGGTTTCACGACCGATCGTGATATGCTTAACAACATTGTTAGTTGAAATTGCTCGGATTACTTTTCAAATTGTTGATCGATTTTCAAATTTGTGGAGGTTTTGGAAACCTTAGATCAATCGGCGAACCAAATATTTCCAGACTTTTTAAAAATTCGTCAACACCCCCTTGAAATTAGTCACAAAGTCAAAGAAATTATAAAATATAATTAATGAATACCGCTAAATTTCAAAAACTAAAAATCAAAGTCAATGTCGGAAAAATCTCGACACCGTGGGCACCACCACCAATGTTCAGTTCACACGCCACACCCCCAGTGGGTGTGACCCTCGGATACTTTGAGATTTTAACGGAACCATTTTCTCAGCTCGACAAGGGGGACTCGACAGAATACCTAAAATTGTCACACCGCGCCCCCAGTGGGTGTGGTTCTCAGAAAATGTTCGACTTTAACAAAACAATCCCATCTGTTATATCATGTTTCTCAGCTCGGCGAGGGAATCTCGACAGAATAACTAAAACTTATGAACCACACCACCAGTGACTGTGGCGTTCAGCGACTTAAAGTTGTTTTCCCTGATATTAAATTTCCCTCACACCGAAATAGCACTACCCGTAATTTTGCGTTTCCATGAAGGCCCGTGTTTTCGGTTGTGGCGGTCTTGAGTGCATTTTCAGCTCAAATTTAAATTTGTCAAATAGTTGTATTTTATAAGTTTAACGCTATATCAAAAACGAAGAACAAAAACGTTTTTTCTCAAAAATCACTAAAAATAAATTTATAAAAATACGTTCTTAAAAATTTGAAACGTTGTACAGTACAACTTGTACTCTATTTCGCAATATTGAAAAGCGTAACAATAAATTGTGAAAAATTAAAATTTTTGGAAGCGGGTTTTTCTTATTCTACGTCATGCAATTCTAATCATTTTGTCGAAATTTCCTCGTTGAGTTAAGAGAAATGATGTATTACATTACATAACGTAGTTTAGTTAAAATCGAAAAGTCTCTATTTTAGGTGCTCCGTCGAAACACACTTGTCAAGCTGAGAAAAATGATGTAACACACGATATGGTTTCGTTAAAATCGATAGTATGCTTACAGCCACACCCACTGGAGGTGTGGTTTCAAAATTTTAATGATTCTGTCGAGATCCCTTCGTCGAGCTGAGAAAAATGATATAACACATGACATGGTTCATTAAAATAACTAAGGTTCGCTTAGGAACACACGCACTGGGGGTGTGGCTCGTAAAGTTTAAGCATTCAATCGAATTCCCCTCGTCGAGCTGAGAAAAATGATGTGTCACACGACATGGTGTCGCTAAAATCCAAGGTTCGCTTAGGACCACCCACACGGGGGGTGTGGTTCGTAATTTTTAAGCATTCAATCGAATTCCCCTCGTCGAGCTGAGAAAAATGATATGTCACACGACATGGTTTCGTTAAAATATAAGTCACCAAGGGCCACACCCACTGGGGGTGTGGCATGTGACTATTAGAAATTTCCTCATATAGTATATGCTTTAGGTTGTTGTTGCACACCAAAATCTAATTCTTGTTTCTTCAACTGCGGCTCATATACATTTTTGGCCAACATTTATTAAATCTGGCCCACTGTGCGGCGTATGTACAAATCCATACATATATATATGAATGTCCCCAAAGATTTCTCATTTAATTTTGCATTGTATGACTTGATGTACATCCTATTTTTTTAAATCTTGTACCTCAATTCAAATTTATTTTCAACAAGCATATTTAATATCACTTTACTTCAAATCTAAGAACTCCACCATGAACAAAGTACACATGGATTTAATCAAGCAGGACTTTACCGTTATCCAGACTGTACAGCTGATATTGATGTATGGATTAACAGGAAGTGTATCTTCAAGCTTCTTATCAATCCCCAATTATTTAGGAGATTGTAACATCCAATTCATGCAGCGAGAGAATATAGGGGAAGATCAACCCGCATATTGTGAACTAATTCTGGCAAGAAATCCTACCTCTCCATTTTCCTTGAATCAAATCCGAGTTAGCAAAACCTATACAAGTTTACCTGGCTGGACGAATTCACTTATCAACCGACAAGCTCGATCGTATCAAATATCAGTTGCATTCATTCACGTCAATGCCAATTTATTAAACGGTATACCAGGTGGTCTTCCCGTGTCCTATTTGCTACAGCAACACATACTTTATTACTACAACCCCACCTATTTATTTCAACACTCCTATAAACCAAAGAATCCTAAACATTTCAAAAACTATGCCATTCACCTTGGTACTTCCAAACTAATCCTTTTTAATTTCTATTCCCCTGATGAATTATACATCCCATGTTTAGCGTGTTACGACTCGCCACCCAACCCCATTGAGACAATACCGCTTTCAAAACTGGAGATCGACTGGTGGTCACATAACCGTAATTTACAACAACGCTTAGTCAACGGGCAGTATTACGATGACACCAAGGCAATCAATTGTGGCGTTAATTATGTCGGGGCCGACAAGCAAACTTTACCCGATTACTGCAAATGTATCCTCCTTTCTCAAAATTTGAACTTCTCTGTAAGTAATGGGAACAATAATCCAGTATCATTTCTAGGTTTTGGATATATTCTTTCCGACATAATTCTTCGTCGTATCGTACAACCTCCGTATAAATTCATACCTTCAATAGTTCAATTCCAGCCTGTAAAATTTACTGTTATAGCAAAATATCCATCAGCTATGGAAGGCATGAATGCCTTTTTGTTACCGTTTAGTTACAATGTCTGGGGAGTTTTATTACTTAATTGTTTTACCTTATGTGTGATTGCACAGCTCGGAAATGCAGAGAGGAATCTGATACAAATCGTGAAAAAAATTTCGGAGAATATAATCAATATAATCGCAATTCTGCTGGGTCAAGTGAGCGGACAAAGTTTGCAAGTATTTGCGGGACTCAGTTTCGGTGCTCCGTTTATTTGGCTATTTTTTGGGCGATACATTATCATGGACAATTTGTACACGAGATCAATATTTTCATACTTGAGTGCTATCAAGGCACCAGTTGTTCCAGAAACTTTGTCAGAATTGTTGGACTCAAGTATTCCAATTATTACTAGAGGAGTTTACATTTCAAATCGGGGAAGTTACGAGTCAACCTTAAAAACAAACATTATTCCGGGATATGTCGCCTCTTTTAAAAGTATGGATGCAACTAAATCTGTCGAAATGTACTTAGCATTAAATGATAGACTAGTTTATGCATATTCACATTCAAAAAGAACGTATCAAAATTTATTGACTAGCCTGTTGGAATCAAAATCTCTTAATGAGTTTGATTTGCCGATCGACTCACGCCAAATGTATGCCATTTTGGATATAAAAGATGAATTAAACGTTCTGACAACGTTATTTAGAAGAAACCAAACTCGTTTAGTGATTGATGCAAGGGATGATATCCCGTTCGTTGCAGTATCTGTCGACCGAATTTTCAGAAACTATTTGTGTCCATTATTTTCTAGAAAGTTTGGTCAGTTAGCAACCGCCGGTATTGAGTTTCGATGGGCTAAACTTCTGAACTTAGCTGTCGCAATATCAAATCTAATTCTTCTTGGGACTCTGGGTATAAAAGGTATGCAGTACAGTATGCGTCGCAGGAAAAATATTCGGAAGCATCAAGCAGTAAGGAAGAACCAACTCGGCTCAAAATGGTTGAACCCATTTTTATGGTATACTTATTACTGCTTTTGTCTGCACTGATTTGTGTTACAGTGGAAAGTAGAAGGGCATTTAAGTATTGGGTATGCTATCAATTCTATAAAAAGTTCCGTAGGTCCATAATTTATTTTAGGTACAACTTTGCTATTCATTTTAAACGCATG